ATTCTCAAACTTTGACACATTTCATAACATATTAACTCTATGTGCTTTTCACAGAAGACAAAAACATAGAAAACGTGTAGTTTTACGATGCCTTGAAGGTATAAAAACTGCGAAATGAAACAAAACAAAACAACAACACCTACAAAGTATAAGCCTGTGTGAATAAAAAGATTTTGAGTCTGTTTTTGAATGCATGTAGGGGCCTCTTGTTTCAAGGAATGGGACCACAATAACTGAAAGCATCATTAGCACACTTTGATCTAATTCTGGAAATAGTTATAAGATTTGCAGTTGATGAACTGAAAAATCTGACTAGGTTGCAATTAGTGGGCAATACAGATATATATTGGGTTGAACTATCTATCCATCCATCCATCCATCCTCTTCTGCTTATTCTTGGCCGGTTTGAGGGAGCAGGAGCCTAAGCAGAGAAGTCCAGACCTCCCTCTCCCCGACCACTTCATCCAGCTTGTCAGGGGGAACACAAGGGTGTTCCCAGGCCAGCTGAGAGATATAATCTCTCCAGCGTGTCCTGGGTCTGCCCCAGGGCCTCCCCCCGGTGGGACATGCCCAGAACACCTCACCCAGGAGGTGCCCAGGAGGCATCCTTGTGAAATGCCAAACCACCTCAACTTGTTCCTGTCAATGTGGAGGAGCAGCAGCTCTACTCTGAGCCCTTCCCAAATGACTGAACTCCTCACCCTATTTCTAAGGGAGAAGCCAGCCACCCTCCGAAGGAAGCTAATTTCTGCCGCTTGTATCCATGGTCTTATTCTTTCTGTCACTACCCACAGCTTGCAACCATAGGTGAGGGTAGAGATGTGGAACAACCAGCACATTGAGAGCTTCGATTTTTACACTCGACTCTCTCTTCACTACAACGGACCAGTACATCATCTTCATCACTGCATCAGTGCAGCTGCAGCACCAATCCGCATTTTGATCTCCTGCTCCTTTCTCCCAGCACTTCTGAACAAGACCCCGAGACACTTAAACTCCTCCACTTGGGACAGGAACTTGTCTCTGACCCAGAGTGGGCACTTCAAGCTTTTCTGGCTGAGGACCATGGCCTCAGATTTGCAGGTGCTGATTCTCATTCCCACTGTTTCACGCTTGGCTGTGAACCATTTCAGTGCAAGCTGGAGGCCATCACCTGATGAAGCCAACAGAACTACATCATCTGCGAAAGCAGAGATAAGATTCTGACACCACTCAAGTGGAATCCTTAAGCCACTCAGTTATACCTAGACATTTTGTCCATAAAAATTCTGAACAGAATCGATGACAAAGAGCAACCCTGGCAGAC